ACTATTTGACATGACTCCAAACATACATACTCATAATTTACCTCACCTATTGAGAAATTTTTGTTTTTGTTAAAATTATTGAGAACTTTTAAAAACAAGGACAACATGTATATCCGAGATGAAGTAGACATAGAAATAGAGACAGAGAAAGATAATTACAACAGAATTATCTCTCTGGAACAAATACAGACTGGACATACTCTGTCAAAAACTTCAAAACGATTGTCTGAATCGGGCCCACCGCTTTATTTTCTTAAAGCAGCTTCGAGGTTCCAAAAGTCCTGTAATATATACATTTTGTATTTTATGAAGCAATTAGGGGGTTTGTAACCCTGAAATTCTGAAATTCTCGAGTTATCACAAAATCTTTACACAATGACTATTGTTTTACACATTAATTATTGACTGGTACATGCAGATAAGACCTAAATATCTGTATGTATCTGTTATCATTTAAAATAAATGAGAACAGGCAAAAAATAGATGAAGATAGAAGAAAATGTATGAACATAGATGGAAACAGATGAATTCTTACATTTCACCTGCAATCATCACTCTCTGAGTATTATTTTAAAGCAGTTTAATATTTAAGACAACAACCATTACAAATACTCTCACTAAAGCTCTTAAGAACAAATTCCAGCCCCTGGAGGAAAGCACTCTCTCTCTCAGGAAGGAATTTAATATGAATTATATTGGGCAATCTGAAATAGAATTGCAGAAAAGTTAAATAAAATATTGGATGTGCACTTTAGCCTTGTGCAATATACATTTATAGTAAAGATTATAAAGACTTTGTATGCTGCAATAATAGTTAGTGTATGCCAAAATATATATATATATATATATATATATATATATATATATATATATATATATATATATATATATATATATATATATATATATATATATATATATATATATATTTATTTATATTTACTGAGAGACGCATCTCGTAATAGAATAGAGAACAGAAAACTAAGAAAAATATTGAGCAATGCAAGTTTGACCGAGAATAGATTTCATTCAAGTGGAAATTTTATCTATTGGGAGTATCAAAGCTCTCCAAATGTACTCACTAGAAAGAAGACAAGAGAGATATCAAATAATATACACATGGAAAATACTGGAGGGACAGGTCCCAAATCTACACAGTAAAATAACAACGTACTGGAGTGAACGATATGGAAGAAAATGCAGAATAGAACCAGTGAAAAGCAGAGGTGCCATAGGCACAATCAGAGAATACTGTTGTTCAACACCCTTCCAGCGAGCATTAGAAATATTGTCGGAACAACCGTGGACATCTTCAAGAGAAAATTAGATAGTTTTCTTCAAGGAGTGCCGGACCAACCGGGCTGTGGTGGATATGTGGGCCTGCGGGCCGCTCCAAGCAACAGCCTGGTGGACCAAGCTCTCACAAGTCAAGCCTAACCTCGGGCCGGGCTTGGGGAATAGAAGAACTCCCAGAACCCCATCAAGCAGGCATCAAACAAAATGAAGCGAGATCTGCTCAGTCCAAAACATGTTCATTCCTAGCACAAAATGATAAGTTATTCGCTTTAATAACTTTCTTAACTTTGAACATATAAACTGCCAATTCTAACACTTGGCATAGAGTCATTAACAATCAGTGCAAATTTACCTGAGAGGTTATTGGTTGATAACTTCTCAGCATTATAATAATTCAGATAATAATTCAGCATTATCTGAATAATAATTCAGATAATAATTCAGCATTATCTGAATAATAATTCAGATAATAATTCAGCATTATCTGAATAATAATTCAGATAATAATTCAGCATTATCTGAATTATCTCATCAGTAAAGGTTCATATAAAAACCTTCCCTAGAGCTGGAATATCCTGTTTCATTAAGAAATATATCAATATATATGTCACTGAAGATTTGTGATATTTATGCATGTATTTATATGGAGATATATAGATGTTTTATATATATATATATATATATATATATATATATATATATATATATATATATATATATATATATATATAACCACACATAACGCATTGGAGGGAATGTGGGTCCCCTCCAATACAGTTTCTGTGTGCTTTTCTCCTACCACCCCCTTCCCTTTTTTTTTTTCCTTTATTGTGTATTTAAAGGTTACAAAACATACAAGACAAATGCCTAAAGGTTATGGATCTCTTGAAGCTCCTCCGCTTCTGGACAGGAACCGAGGACGCAGCAAGCATTTCCCCTCTGGATCGCCACACTGAGACGCTGAAATAAAAAACTGGAAGCCCTTGGGTCTCTGGTGACGTCAATGAGCTTGGACCCCAATTCCTTGAGAAATCCCAAGGCACTCTTGCCCCAGGGGCCATGCGTCTCAGACGCTATGGGAACAAAGAGGTATTGACCATCCAGTCGCCTGTACTTGAGTGATTTTGCTGTTTCCCTGTGGTTGGCCGCCCCACCTGCTTGATCAGCTCCGAAGTGTACATAGGTGTCAGCCAGGGTGGATACACATGTGTAGTCCCACACCAACTGTCTACCCTCCTTCCATGAGTATATGGTGATGCCATCAGGGCGAAGTGCTGGGAAATCCGGGTTTTGGACCCCTAGGATGCGAGGTTCTCTCTCCGCTGGGCACCCAGCTGAGACGAGGCTTCTCTTGATATATATATATATATATATATATATATATATATATATATATATATATATATATATATATATATATATATATATATATATATATATATATATATATATATATATATATATATGTCGTACCTAGTAGCCAGAACTCACTTCTCAGCCTACTATTCAAGGCCCGATTTGCCTAATAAGCCAAGTTTTCCTGAATTAATATATTTACTATAATTTTTTTCTTATGAAATGATAAAGCAACCCTTTTCTCTATGTATGAGGTCATTTTTTTTTTATTGGAGTTAAAATTAACGTAGATATATGACCGAACCTAACCAACCCTACCTAACCTAACCTAACCTATATTTATAGGTAAGGTTAGGGTAGGTAGCCAAAAAAAGCTAGGTTAGGTTAGGTTAGGTAGGTTAGGTAGACGAAAAAAACATTAATTCATAAAAACTTGGCTTATTAGGCAAATCGGGCCTTGAATAGTAGGCTGAGAAGTGCGTTCTGGCTATTAGGTACGACATATATATATATATATATATATATATATATATATATATATATATATATATATATATATATATATTGTGACAATAATCTCCTTCAAGAGATTGAGCCTGCTCTTCCCTCCACAAACCCGTCGTTGAAATTATATAAAACGACTATGGAAGACATGTCCAACAATGACAACAACACCAGCAAGGCTTGCCAGGGTGAGCAAAACGTATGCAGCCAGCCACCTGTTCGAACCCAAACCACCAAACTACATGTTGATCGCTGCCGGCTCCGCTGATTGGTCGCCGGTCTGGCTGCACCTGCACTCGCCCCCCCATACTACTTGATGTCTGGGGTCGCCCCAACCTCGGACTTCAGAATGTTCAGTGCTCTCGTTGTCACCACTCCTCCCAGCTAGACTCTAGCGTGTACTGAGAGAAGTGGTGGCTTTAAGCCAATATTCCAGCACCTCCCATTTACTTTTATATTGCACTTCTTGTTATTTTGCCTTAACGTAACTTTTCATTGTGTCATTTAATTATTCTTATTATTTTGATTGATTTTATTATAAGAATTTGTTTGTGCATTTTATTCATGTTTTGATTTATTTAACGTAATTAAAATTTCATTGTTAAAGTTTACTTGTGTTTTGTGTGTCTTCTCCTTACCTTACCACAGACGAAGTTCCAGTTTTTTCTTTTTTTTTATAACTATGTGACGAGGCCATACCCCTAGCCTTAAACAGCCGAACACCAACGCGTTACCGTCACAATATATATATATATATATATATATATATATATATATATATATATATATATATATATATATATATATATATATATATATATATATATATATATATATATTGGTGTATACTGGCAGCAGGTTTTCTTTCAAACATGTTTCATTGAATATGACCGCATATTCTGTATTTATTATTTTCTGGTTTAGGGCTTCTATCCCTCTAACTATTTTCTTAGCAACAGGGCTTAATTGGAATAGGAGTTCTCCAAAACTCATTTTCGTACTTTTAAGGTGAAGAAAAGAAGTGATTTACTATAGAGTGTATTACACTTATTTGTATAATTTGCACGACGTTTCGAACCTCCATGGTTCATTCTCAAGTGAACAGATCTTACAATACTAGTTGATTTTATACCCGCATTAGGTCAGGTGATAATACAATGAAGGTGAAAAACATGGGGGGATACATAAGGGATAAACATAGGGGCTGCAGAAGGCTTATTGGCCCATACGAGGCATCTCCTATCTAAACACAAAGATTAATCCAGTGTAATTGGCCTGTTATGTTGGACATTGTCTTCTGTGTTGGCATCGATATGTTCTTGTCTTGTCCTTACTCTCATGGTGGGTAGAGTAAATAGTTCCGTGATTTGGGTGTTCATGGTAGGTCGCTCTATTCTTATGTGAATTGCCTCAAGAATTTGTAATCTTCTTGAATCTTGGGTTTTGTCTATTATGCAAGTATTCTTGTTCAACATTTCTCTTGTTAGAGTAATGTCATGGGCTTGTCTCATATATATATATATATATATATATATATATATATATATATATATATATATATATATATATATATATATATATATATATATATATATATATATATATATATATAATGTAGATATATGCTCACCTGCATGCATACCCGAATATATGGAGTCGAGAGTGAAGATCAGAGCAGCCTGATTGGCCAACTGATCCAGTAGTGAGTGTGTGTGTGTGTGTGGGGGGGTGTTCAGCCCGTTCTCCCAAGCGTCCCCAACGTCACTAAAATGTTGTACTAAATTGTCCGAACCTAACCGGACCCTCGGACCCCCCACCCCCCAAAAAAAAACCGGGACACCACGTCAACTTCGCGAGTCGCTGTGAGTGTAGCGGCTTTTGGCCTTAGGGAAATTATACGTCAAAATGCGATGTCCCGTTCGCGAGAACTGTTTGGTGGGCCGTGGTTCGAGGGATGGCAGCGGCTGTGGTTCGAGGGATGGCAGCGGCTGTGGTTCAAGGGATGGCAGCGGCTGTGGTTCAAGGGATGGCAGCGGCTGTGGTTCAAGGGATGACAGCAGCTGTGGTTCAAGGTATGACAGCAGCTGTGGTTCAAGGGATGGCAGCGGCTGTGGTTCAAGGGATGACAGCGGCTGTGGTTCAAGGGATGACAGCGGCTGTGGTTCAGGGGATGACAGCGGCTGTGGTTCAGGGGATGGCAGCAGCTGTGGTTCAGGGGATGACAGCGGCTGTGGTTCAGGGGATGGCAGCAGCTGTGGTTCAGGGGATGGCAGCGGCTGTGGTTCAGGGGATGGCAGCGGCTGTGGTTCAGGGGATGACAGCGGCTGTGGTTCAGGGGATGACAGCGGCTGTGGTTCAGGGGATGGCAGCGGCTGTGGTTCAAGGGATGGCAGCGGCTGTGGTTCAAGGGATGGCAGCGGCTGTGGTTCAGGGGATGGCAGCAGCTGTGGTTCAAGGGATGACAGCGGCTGTGGTACAGGGGATGGCAGCAGCTGTGGTTCAAGGGATGGCAGCAGCTGTGGTTCAAGGGATGACAGCAGCTGTGGTTCAAGGGATGGCAGCAGCTGTGGTTCGAGGGATGGCAGCGGCTGACGTTCAAGGGATGACAGCGGCTGTGGTTCAGGGGATGGCAGCAGCTGTGGTTCAGGGGATGGCAGCAGCTGTGGTTCAAGGGATGACAGCAGCTGTGGTTCAAGGGATGGCAGCAGCTGTGGTTCAGGGGATGGCAGCGGCTGTGGTTCAAGGTATGACAGCAGCTGTGGTTCAGGGGATGACAGCGGCTGTGGTTCAGGGGATGGCAGCAGCTGTGGTTCAGGGGATGGCAGCAGCTGTGGTTCAGGGGATGGCAGCAGCTGCATACCTTGGTTCACTCTTAATTCGAATGGTGGTCTCGGCTGCCTTTCATCACCACTGCTCACTTTGTGTATCTGTATCTGTCTCTTTCTCTGTCTGTCTGTCTCTCCATTTGTTGCATTCTATTGTCTTGTGCAATTAATCCCTCTCCCTTACAACATGTTTTCATTCCTCACATTCCTGTATTCTGATTTTCTCTACACTTTGTCCGACATTCCTATTTATCCTCTGTCTCGTATCTATATTATCAGTCTCTCTGTCTCCCCTTCTCTCTCTCTCTCTCTCTCTCTCTCTCTCTCTCTCTCTCTCTCTCTCTCTCTCTCTCTCTCTCTCTCTCTCTCTCTCTCTCTCTCTCTTTCTATGGTAGATAAACGCATCAATTCTCTATATAAATAAAGTCTATTGATCAGTTTAAACAAGGGTGCAGTTGTGGTTTGTTAAGGTCTCTAGTCCTTCGTTACTGCCAGACTGAACACTTATAATTTTCCTGATCATAATATGTATTGTTCAGTGAAAATATTATTCACGGATTTACATAGGATTCACTGCCCTAAAAATGTTATTTCCGTTCCTCCTTTAGTTCTTTATTATATATTATTGACGGTAGTAAAAATTTTAGCCCAAATTTGAAAATATATTTGGTGTCTAAACCTACTGTCTAAATGACCTAAAAAGGTAAAAATCAAGTTGGCATGTCAAAAGCCAGCAAAGGATAATATGATATTAAATTTAAATAAGAAACACGAGGGAATATCTTCGGAGTAGGACCACGGGATCGAACACTCGTTCACTGTAGGTGAAGAATTACATATTTCCAGAGAAGAGAACACAGTTTATACAAATTTGCTGACGGGAGAGTTTCAGCTCGAACCTGGTGTTCTCATGCACACGATGTCGTGGTCAATAATGTCACCTGGTGTAGTTACTTGTCGTGGTCAATAATATCACCCGGTGTAGGGACTTGTCGTGGTCAATAATATCACCTGGTGTAGGGACTTGTCGTGGTCAATAATATCACCCGGTGTAGTGACTTGTCGTGGTCAATAATGTCACCTGGTGTAGTTACTTGTCGTGGTCAATAATATCACCCGGTACAGTGACCTGTCGTGGTCAATAATATCACCCGGTGTAGTTACTTGTCGTGGTCAATAATATCACCCGGTGTAGGGACTTGTCGTGGTCAATAATACACCTGGTGTAGGAACTTGTCGTGGTCAATAATACACCCGGTGTAGGAACTTGTCGTGGTCAATAATACACCTGGTGTAGGAACTTGTCGTGGTCAATAATATCACCCGGTGTAGGGACTTGTCGTGGTCAATAATACACCTGGTGTAGGAACTTGTCGTGGTCAATAATACACCCGGTGTAGGAACTTGTCGTGGTCAATAATACACCTGGTGTAGGAACTTGTCGTTGTCAATAATACACCTGGTGTAGAAACTTGTCGTGGTCAATAATACATTAAACACTAACGCCTGACAATCGGAAAGCACCGAGGCCCTAGCCAGGCAGAACAATATAATATTAACCCTCGCACAGTCCAAGGGGAATACGAGAGTGGGAGGAAAGGTCGCGTATTGACCCCAGCGGTATTGAAGATTAATGACCAGTCTCGTGTGAATTTGTGTCTAGTTCGGCACTTTGACTGATTGTGAGTTACGCCCTGGTGAAGTTAGAGGTCACCAAGCAGCTCATGTGGTCCCTGGAGGCTGTTTGTGACCCCCCACACAGCCTTGACCCCAGTCGTGACCCCCAGTTGTGACCCCCGAGTCGTGACCCCAGTCGTGACCCCAGTCTTGACCCCAGTCGTGACCCCCAGTTGTGACCCCCAGTCGTGACCCCCAGTTGTGACCCCCAGTCGTGACTCCAGCCGTGACCCCCAGTTGTGACCCCTCAACGCGGCACCTGCTCTCAGGGATGAATTGTTGATCTCCTGTGACTGCAAATAAGGTTGACCTCTATGCCAGAACTCATTAGAGAAAAGTTTCTCACAACCCTTGAATCACTTCATACTTTTGGCAGTCTTCGGAGTTGTGAAAGCAGTAGAAGAGTCTGGCTTGGGGAATGTGGGATTGGAGAATGTAGGATTAGGGAACGTGGGATTGGGGAGAAAGATCACGCAGCGGGAAATGGGCAACTACGCCATGTACGTCTTAGTGGCTTTGCAAGAATGTAAAAATGACTAATCTTATGTAATCTCACCAACTCATTGTACCTTTATGTGAATAAATTAGTCTTATTCTTAACTATCATACCAGCGGAGCAGACGCTAATGACTAAGGAGGTCTGCGGAATGAGAGGAAGAGAGGATTGGAATAATTTATGAAAACATTTTGCTTCAAATTACTTCTTGAATCATTTTTCGACAAATTCATTTAAGCCGGACATGATGCAGAGTCTTCATGACCCCAGCCACCTGCTGGGAGAAGCAGGGCTTGGAAGGACCCCCAGCTGCTAGGAGAACTGAGGCTTGGAAGGACCCCAGCTGCTAGGAGAACTGAGGCTTGGAAGGACCCCAGCTGCTAGGAGAACTGAAGCTTGGAAGAACCCCAGCTGCTAGGGGAACTGAGGCTTGGAAGAACCCCAGCTGCTGGGAGAACTGAGGCTTGGAAGGACCCCAGCTGCTAGGAGAACTGAGGCTTGGAAGGACCCCAGCTGCTAGGAGAACTGAAGCTTGGAAGATCCCCATCTGCTGGGAGAACTGAGGCTTGGAAGGACCCCAGCTACTAGGAGAACTGAGGCTTGGAAGGACCCCACCTGCTAGGAGAACTGAGGCTTGGAAGGATCCTAGCTGCTAGGAGAACTAGGGCTCGGAGAGAAATCCGATTGAATACAACGAAATACAAAATTCGTTGTGTGAAGAATGAACACCGAATAAGAGGACCAGTGTATTTCTCCTCTCTAAAACACGAAGCTTTGAGAGAGACATCACCAGGACGTCCCTGATATACACCTCACCAGGGACATCAGGGCTTCTCCAGGACGCCCCTGATAAACACCTCACCAGGGACATCAAACCAAGAACTTCATTGCTTTCGAATTAAAAAATAAGACAGCATTCGATGCTTAAATAAAGTAAGCATCGAGAACCAATATTTTGGAGGAGGAGGAGGAGGAGGAGGAGGAGGAGGAGGAGGAGGAGGAGGAGGAGGAGGAGGACGAAGAGACTGACACCAACAAATCAAGAGTAAGGGAAGTAACAATAAGTAGAAGAGTTACGAAAGAAGGGAAAGAGGAGACTGTTACTCATGAGTGACGGTGAGGTAACGTCAGGAGTAACGAAGGGTCAACGTCAAGAATAAGGAAGGGTCAGGGTGGAGAAGCAGTCCTCCATCACTATAAATAATAACAACCACCTAGCAAGGAGAACAAGGTAGAAATCATCTTCACAAATACCCTTGAATTAATCAGGAACAAAATGAGTACAAATACCTGTTACTCAGATCACAATTGAAGTTCTGACAAGCATGGAGAGTAGACCTGCACAACCAGTTCCGCATTCCAGTGGAGGAGAATTCAGCACATTCAATTTAATAACAAACAAATGAACTGGGAGCAAATAAACCAAGATCTCACAGAAATAAGCTGGGAAGAACAACTAGAAAATGCCAACCTGAACCAGTGCCTGGAAAAAATAGTTCAGTAACATTAGATATATGCCCAAGCCGCAGACCTCTAAGAAAAAATGAGGAAGAGATGCAGATTGGAACGGGAACGGCATTCCCTCTATAGGCGAAGAAACAAATCGCCGAACAACTTGAGAGTCGCACCCTATCTCAAGAACGGCGAAGAAAGTTAGGTAGAGAAATAGAAACAATAGAACTAAAGCTACAAGAGTCGTACAAAACCCCAGGAGAGACAAAGAACGCAAAATTCCATCAGTCAGAAAAAGAAAAATTCGAAATATTTCTTATCTTTTGCAAAATCAAGAACAAAAACTACTTCTAGTATCGGACCCCCCTTCGAAAGGGAGATGGAACGTTCACTGATGACAACAAAGAAATGAGCGAAATACTGAGGAATCAATACGATTCCGTTTTCAGTGAGCTACTAAACACACTGATTTTGATAACCCAAATGAATTCTTCATGTGTGTGATACCAACATCAAATCATATATCAGACGTCACCCTATCCTCTCTGGAGTTTGAAGAAGCAATGGACAGTATGGCTATGCACTCTGCACCAGGCCCTGATTTCTGGAACTCTATATTCATTGGGAACTGTAAAAAACACTATCGCAGGCCCTTCACATTCTTTGGAGACAGCCTAGATACTGACGTTAGCCCTGACATACTAAAAACAGCAGAGATAGCACCACTCCATAAAGGAGGAGATAAGGCAGAGGTAAAAAAATTACAGACCGATAGCACTAACATCACACATCGTAAAAATCTTTGAGAGAGTGATAAGAAGTAAGATCACAAAATACATGGAATCCCAGCATCTCCATAACCCCGGACAACATGGTTTCAGAACAGGGCGCTCTTGCCTGTCACAGTTGCTGGACCACTATGACGTGGCATTAGATGTCATGGAAGACAAACAAACCGCTGATGTAATTTACACAGCTTTCGCTCAAAGGCCTTCGAGAAAGGTGACCATGTTGTTATTGCACACAAAAAGCGTGCAAAATTACCGAAAAAATAGGCGGATGGATCTACAATTTCCTTACTAACAGAACCAAATGTGAAATAGTCAATAAAGTAAAATCCGGTCCATCAACCGTGAAGAGCTCAGTCCCCCAGGGTACTGTGCTTGCTCCAGTACTTTTTCTCATCCTCATATCGGACATAGACAAGGACACAATCTATAGTACTGTATCATCCTTTGCAGATGACACTAGGTTTTGTATGCGAGTAGACAACATAGAGGACACGGCAAACCTCCAATCAGATGTCAATCAGATCTATCTATGGGCTACAGAAAAAATATAGTATTTAATGAAGATAAGTTCCAGCTCATGCGCTACGGAAAAAATGAAAATATAAAAACGGAAACCC